GGTATACTCCTGAATGCTTTGATATTTAGGCTTTGCCTTGCAGGTAGTAAAACACCTCAATCACGTCTTTGTCTTTGAAGAAATTTCTTACTTGTCTATAGCATTATCCCTATTCCAGTTCTCATCATGTTTGCACCTGCTAAGGTGGATTTTTTTGCTGGAGTTTTACAGGGATGTAAACTTTGAGAGTTCTTTATTTTCTGTGTCGGATGTTGGCTTTTCATTAAGGGGAGGTGAAACAACTGTGGTGAGTACTTCATTTGAGTTGTCAAAGTAATGCTGAACAAATTGTTAATAAGATCGTCTTTGCGGTAAATTTTAAATACTTCTGGAATTCTGCTTATTGTCAGTTCCTGTTACTTTCAGGTGCAACTAACGGTTACGCCTAGAGTAGAAGGCATTTTACAAATTGTTGGTGTAAAGTGGAAATTGTCAGGTTTTGTTGTTGGTTTACATAAATTTGAGACTAACCCTGTGAAGATGATAAGAAAGCGAATACAGAAGGCTAAGCATCCTCATAGTGATAATTTAAAGTTTGTGGTCGTTAAGGTGCTTGCCCTTGCCCTTCCTTTTTATTCCACCTTCAGATTTGCAATGTAAACTAAGTTTGGGCATCTTTTCCATCTAACTATATTCTTTCCGATGTCAGAGTGTACCAAAGCTTGAGGGTGTCATTCATCCACTACCCAAAAGGGCATATGTGGGAGATTTACGGAATCTTGTGTTAGAGTTGAGGAACAAATCTGAATTTGCGATTAAGGTATGGGTTTTTTTTCCACTCTATGTTCTCAATGATGATCCTTGGTAGGTGGTTTGTCCATGTATGTTTTTGTAGAATGTATCTTGCAGTGTGTTAACTTTTATGGATAGTTCTTTCTTATCGTTTAGGAGGTAGTCTAGGTAGTCGGCTTGAACTATGTTTGATTACTTTGAGTTGTACTGTTATGTAGATACCATTGCATGAGGTAATGATTACACATTATTACATTCATGCTCTTGAACAACAGATATACCCTGCTCGTCTTTATGTTATGCAGGGGCTAACTTTGTGTATTGATGCATCCAATGTGTTTATTGTGCTTATATGGCTTAATATGCTTGCAGAATCTGAAAATGAAGATTAGTCATCCTAGATTCCTGAATATCGGGAAGCGAGAAAGTTTGAACACAGAGTTTCCTGCTTGCTTAGAAAAGACAAATTCTGATCATTCTGGTGTTCCTGCTAACCCTACTGACGTTTCTCATTCCATGTTTCTATTTCCAGAGGTCAGTACCATTTTGTCCTGATGTTTATCTTTTCATGATTTATTATGAGTCTTTAACTAGGCATTTTCTGGTCTTATGATCTTTATCTCTTTCTATACTTCAGGACATGATAATTCAAGGGGAAACACCATTATTGTGGCCTCTTTGGTTTCGAGCAGCTGTTCCTGGGAACATTTCCTTGTGCATAACTATATATTATGAGATGGGAGATATTTCAAGCACCATGAGATATCGCACTTTACGCATGCATTACAACTTGCAGGTGTGTGCATCAATATCGATTGTGAAAGTTTCTTGATTTGGTTCACTTTTCTAAGTATAATTTGACTGTTTTCCTATTATTGTGAAGGTCTGAGTTATATTGAGTTGGTGATTTACGCATTCCTTTGTAAATCAATGTAATATTTTCAAATGAATGCGTACCTTCAAATATGTTAATTTTAAAATTCATTTTCGTAGGTGTTGCCCTCATTAGATGTGTCATTCCAAATCAGTCCTTGTCCATCAAGATTGCAAGAGTTCCTTGTGCGCATGGATGTTGTCAACAAGACAAGCTCAGAGAGTTTCCAGGTTCATCAGTTGTCATCCGTTGGGCACCAATGGGAAATCTCATTGCTTCAACCTGTTGATGCCATCTTTCCTTCACAATCTTTAATGGCTCATCAAGCGTTGTCATGTTTCTTCATGCTCAAGGTTTCTGCGGATGCTGATACTGTGGTTTCGTCTTTTTATATAATTGTTCTATATGACTTGCCATTTGATTTACATTTTTGCATAACACCTCACAATAATTGCAATCTGGTTAAGAAGACCTGAGGGTCTGGTTAATATATAGAATTGTATTTGTTTTGACATCAGCAACTTAAGCTCTTATTTTCCTTTCCCTCCCCTTTATTCTAATGAATTACCTTTTTGGATTCAGAATCATGGCAAGCCATCAACTTCTGAAGATGAGATATCTTCTCATTTCCGACTTCAGGGAACTGATGTGAGATTGGGTACTCAGGGCAGTAGTGGACCACATTTTGATATAGCTAGCTCTCCCCTGGCAGATTTCCACCATTGTGAAAGACTGCACCAAGAAATTTTACAGAAGGTAGATAGATTTCTTGCTATAACAGTTCTAACATCTTTCTCTGTTCAATATTACTGATCATATCACTTGGATTTGGTTGTCTCCTGAATCATCATGTCTTGAAGGGGAACTAAAGTGCTGGATAATAATTAGTCCTTGTTGATTGTGATTTGGGCATCAGACATATATGACCCATTAATATGCTTTTGTACATTATTGATGCTTTTTGGCATTTAACCGTATTGAGCTTTTTCTTTCTGTGTGGATCAGGGAGACACCAGTACAGTTGACTTCATATTGATTTCTCGGCCTCTGAAGAATGACAATAATCCTGTGGGTTCCGATCCATCACATCTTTTTTCTCATCATGCATGTCACTGCAGGCAAGTATTGTTTCAATATGAAAGGTTTTGATTATGAATCTGAAAACTATCTTGTTTGTTTTTCCTTTTCTATCTTTCGCTATCTTTCTTTGCTTAACTTTTATTTCCAATTTTAAGGTTATGTTATGCTAACATATGTTTGGCCGTTAATTGTACAGTACTGCAAGCACAAGTTCTATATCATGGCTAGTTGACGGACCTCGAACCATATATCATGACTTCTTTACTCCTTTCTGTGAAATAAATCTTAGCATGACTTTATTCAACTCATCGGATGTCGTTGCGTCTGTACACATAAACACCTTGGACTACAGTACTAGTGATAATTTAAATGATGCAACTCCAGTTCAACCGGCCACGTCTTCTGACAACCAAGAAGGGTGGCATGACCTCTCCTTACTGACTGACATCAAGGTAACGTCTGATGTCCTTAAAGTCCGGACAAGTAAATCAACACCGGTGGAGAGTGTCTCCCCGTTTATTTGGTCTGGGTCAAGCTCTACCAGAGTCCAACTTGAGCCTATGTCAAGAACTGAAATTCCTCTTCAAGTTTGTGTATTCTCTCCAGGGACATATGATCTGTCAAACTATGTTTTGCATTGGAATCTTTTACTTTCTAATGATCAAGGAAACCGTGATAGAAGATCGTCCGGGAAATGCCAGGGATATCCCTATTACCTTACAGTGCTCCAGTCAGATTAAAATTTTCTTTCATTTTTGCATCCTTCTCTATTCTCAATTATAGGAATCACGGGTGTACTATGTTATGTATCTTTGGCCTGTAAATTGTTATGTTTGTGTATCTTTTGTTTTTCGTCTTTTTCTTCTTTTTCTCTCACCAGAATAGGAATATTATGAAAGGCTTAGGAAAGGTAGGAGATGAAATGAAATTGTTTTATGTTCTCTGAATAATAATAGCAATGAATGTTTAATTGGTGTATTGCCAAATTATTGTACACGAATGTGCCATTTTGAATAGAAAAACATGATAACTACGCATTTTCATGCGTATTTTGTTACTCGGAGAAATTTATGCTCGCTTTCTTTAAGTTGGTGGATTGTTTATGTTTTTGGCTAAATGAATCTATTTATGCTGCACTTGCAAAGACTTCCTTAGGAGTAATGCACGGGGTTCATTGTGATCCCTAAAAAACGTTCTTTTGTGTTTGAAAACTGTCTTGGTAGTTGGTAACCAAATAGAACCAAATAAGCTTGCAACCTTCCCCCACAAAACTGAGACCATATGAAGTCAAAAACGCTTATTTTAAAATAATATTATTTAGGAAGGCATCCTTTTAAGTCCATCCGTGCTTGTAGGTTCCATCTATAATCACATTCCATATGGCAAACAGCGAAATGGGAGGTTTTTTTTTATGCAAACAACGAAACATCATAGAAGACAAAGGCCGAATGAAGACGCCACCAAGTCTCTTGTTTTAGGAAAATATTTGCAAGCCATCCCTCTATGTATATAAATCATAGTCTCCTATGTGCGCGTAATTTCTTTTTTGTGTTCTTCATTTGGATGGAGTGATTCCAAATCCGGGATTTGGATGACATTATGAGATTAAATTGTTTGTTTAGATTACTATAATTATGTATCCCAAGATTTGAATAAGAGGAAAAAAGAAAAAAAAGAAAAACAAATACATTTCAAATTAATCCTTGCATATAGTAATTTCAAATCCATTTTAAATGTACTATATCTTATTATTTCAAATATGTCACGTTGAATTGTAATCTAATCTTACAATTTAACCTTATAATGTCATTCAAATTATAGAATCTGTGAGAATTAACCAATGATTAGGATAGGAGTTCCCTAATTTCCTTCTTTCCCACACAAAAAAATCACAATTAACATTCAAATAAATCGAAGCCAATTTTCCCAATTTCCTTTTTCCCTCACGCGTTTTTTAGTCCCAAACAAGTAATAACCCAATTGCGGCAGAGTCATCATCAGATTCATAGATAGGACTGGGTCTCCTCCATCAAAGAGACAGAGTTAGTTCACCTTCTAAGAAACGACCTCTTTCATTTTCAAAACAAAATACACAACACCGCGTCCACGTCTCTACGTCTCCTCTTCTCTCGTCCTGCAGAAGAAGACTCAGACACCTCGTTGACTAATTACACCTAAACCAAACACCCCTCTGCCCCTTCCTCTTCAAAACCCACCAGATTTCGTCTCTCCATTTACTCCCATTCTACTATCGATTCAATCGGATTTCGATTTCCATTTCGATTTTGATTTTTGGATTTGAGAAGCAGCAGCCATGAACGACTTGTTCTCGGGCTCGTTTTCGCGGTTCCGGAGCGAGCAGAACACGAACGACGATCACGTGATCGAGATGTCGTCGGCGGGGTCGAGCACCGGCGGCGTCAACCTAGACAAGTTCTTCGGCGACGTGGAGTCCGTGAAGGACGAGCTCAAGGAGCTGGAGCGCCTCCACCAGAACCTCCAGTCCTCTCACGAGCACAGCAAGACGCTCCACAACGCCAAGGCTGTCAAGGACCTCCGATCTCGCATGGACGCCGACGTCACCCTCGCCCTCAAGAAGGCCAAGGTCCTCAAGGTCCGCCTCGAGGCTCTCGACCGCTCCAACGCCGCTAACCGGAGCCTCCCCGGCTGCGGACCCGGTTCGTCCTCCGATCGGACCCGGATCTCCGTCGTCAACGGCCTCCGCAAGAAGCTCAAGGACTCCATGGACAGCTTCAACTCCCTCAGGCAGAAAATCTCGTCCGAGTACAGAGAGACGGTGCAGCGCAGGTACTTCACCGTCTCTGGTGAAAATCCCGATGAGAAAACCCTCGACCGCCTCATCTCCACCGGTAAGGGCAATCCGTCACTTGTTTTTTGCTCTTACCACAATTTATTTCCTCTAAAGAATTTAGACTCGAACTTGATGCAAGTGGGCGGATTCATGGCGGTGGCCAACCGGCCTAATCCACGTCTGCCCCTTTTTTAAATTTTGTTGCTTGATTTATGATTGGATTTTAATTAATTTTGCAGGAGAGAGCGAAACGTTTCTGCAGAAGGCTATACAGGAGCAGGGGAGGGGCCAGGTTCTGGACACGATCCATGAGATCCAGGAGCGGCACGACGCCGTAAAGGACATGGAGAAGAATCTGCAGGAGCTGCACCAGGTGTTCCTGGACATGGCGGTGCTGGTGCAGGCGCAGGGGGAGCAGCTGGACGACATCGAGAGCCACGTGGCGAGGGCCAACTCGTTCGTGAGGGGCGGAACCCAGCAGCTGAACAAGGCCAGGTTTTACCAGAAAAACACCCGCAAGTGGACTTGCTTCTTGATCATTTTGCTGCTGGTTATTGCGTTGATTGTTATTCTGAGCTTGAAGCCCTGGAACTGGAACAATGGAAATAATAATAATAATAATAATAATAATAATCCCACGGCTTCTCCACCACCACCACCACCAGCATAGGAGAGACTAGTTTTGTCACATTGATTTCATATATATTTTTTCTTTCTATTTTTTTGAACTGGGGTTCATTTCCTCTGTAATTAAATTACGTGTCTTCTGGGTATAGCTTGCATATTTTCTTGGGGTGTTTTTTTATTTATTTTTTTACATCTTCTATTTTCTTTTCATTATGCACACAATAATAATGAGTTTCGATTAGGTGAAACAGTGTTTTCAGTGACTGTGATGTGAGTGTAGAAGCTTTGTGGAATTGTGGCCAAATGGGCAGAGCAATATTGACTCTAATTTCTTAACTTCAAGGATGGGGCAATTGGGTGATCAATCAATACATTTGTGAATACTAATAAATGTAGCAAAATAGAAAGAAAAAAAAAAGGATTTTAAAAAAACTAGACAGCTTTCAACATTTTTGTTGGTTTAGATTCTGAGAATTTAGATGAGTGATAAATTGGTACCTAAATTAATAAATATCAACGTTAGAAATAGTTCAAAAGAATTCATCTGTTGGATTACAAGCGGTGAGAAGAGTGATGAAGGTTATATTAAAGTGGTGAGCAAAAATACTCTCATTATTTTGTGTGTAAATAATCTAATGTAATTCGTTTTGGTTGCAAACTAATCAAAACAATTAGTTTATGAACCCGAAACGAAATTGTGAACGCTAATTCCACATCAATAAAAAAAATTACAATTTACAAGTTCATAACCATCAAAATGAAATTTAGACGGAAGTCACAAAACTATGAGCAAAACTATATGGGGATAACTGAATCCCAACAAGGATTTTGAACTGAGATTACGTCCAAAGCAAAACCAGTTTTTGCACATATTTTATCAAGTACAAAAACCCGATTGTTTTTTCACACCTTGTAATATTAAAACCAACTTTTAACATTATGTTCTTTGTCAACTGAAGTTGTTACGAATAAACTTTTAAATTATTGGAGGAGTCGGTCTAATTTTGTACACAACTTGGATATTCCTAAATTATTCCAATTTGTATACATAAACACACATATAAATATAGGAGAATAAGTATCAAATAATTTTTAATGTAATGGTACTTCTCTTCTTAATATTAATAAAACGTGTTTACGCATCCCCGGGAACAAAATAGCCAAATGAAACCTTCAGAAAATAATTATCATGGGACAAGGTAGATTACTTTTTAGGATTAACTAGTCCACACAACAATAGTCCTGAATTGCTCCAAATAGACACTAGAAGGGTGGAAAAAAGGTGGGTTCTTTTCCTTTGGCTGCTAAAGGAACGTACTTGGTACCTGGTACTTGGGATAACTTTGAACCCTTCAAAGTTAGAAGAAGTTGATCAAACGCGGCCAAGACTTGACCACCAAGTCAAAAACGACTGCCATAAACCATTCTCTGTGCATAACGTCCCCAACACAAACCAAAAAATTAATTTGAACACGCAGAAGCTCAGAGAGAGAGGCGCCACCAATTTCTGAGTTTCCGAACATTTCCATAGCCTCCCGGAAGAAATGAACGACTTGCTCTCAAGCTCCTTGTCCAAGGCCTCGCCGGACCACCATGTCATCGAAATGACCCCTTCGAAGGGCGACGACCTCGGTAAGTTCTTCCAGGACGTTGAGGCTGTCCAGAGCGAGCTCGACGAGCTGCAGAAGCTCAACAAGAGTCTTCGGAGCGCCCACGAGCAGAGCAAGACCCTCCACAACGCCAAGGCTGTCAAGGAGCTCAGAACCCGCATGGACGCTGACGTCCACCTAGCCTTAAAGAACGCGAAGATCCTTAAGGTGAGGTTGGACGCCTTGGATCGGTCCAACGCCGCCAACCGAAGCCTGCCTGGCTGCGGCCCCGGATCATCGTCGGACCGGACAAGGACGTCTGTGGTCAACGGGCTGAGGAAGAAGCTCAAGGATTCTATGGATAGCTTTAATGACTTGAGGCAGAAGATATCGTCTGAGTATAGAGAGACTGTTCAGCGTAGGTACTTCACCGTCACCGGAGACAACCCTGATGAGAAAACCGTTGACCTTCTTATCTCCACCGGTGAGATAACAGTTCCAATACCATATTTTGTCAAACATTTGAATTTACAATATTTCCTTACATAGCCTTGTCTTGCCCGTTAGAAAATAGAGTTTACCTTTCAACAAAGGTTGGCTGATCAAATTTAGTCATCAAATTGGTTCACTAAATCAAATGAAAAATGTTATTAGCCGGGCGTATCTCACATCACGTGACATGTTGATAAAGTATATCACACTGTCACCCTAAATTATCACATGCATATTCATGTAGAACGGTCAGAGTTTTTTTTGTTTAAAAAAAAAACATTAGTACATGAGGAAACTGTCACACTGTCACTTAATATTACAAGTCTATCCATATTATAACATATGTATTTATTTATTAATACTCGAATATAAGTTCATGACGTATCAACTATGTCTTTCACTCATATTATAACACATGAATTAGTAATTAACAATACGTAATTGTGTGAGCATAAAACTAAAAAATTTGTTACGAAATTCGAATTTGAAACCTCTCTCAGCATTGAGAAGAAAGATATAACTAACGAATTGTTAGTTAGTACATATATACATATATCGTTAGAATTTAGATATTTGTAAATACACTTAGTATATAATTTGGGTGAATTCGATATCTCATATCAACATGTCACATGGTACATGGTACAACATCTTACTTGTTAGAAGTCATGATTGAAATTTAAACAATTGATACAATGCCACGAGCAAAATTATATGCTTTAGAATTAATTAGATGTAGCAACTATATGCAGGTGAAAGCGAGACATTTTTGCAGAAGGCAATCCAAGAGCAAGGAAGAGGGAGGGTTCTGGACACCATATCCGAGATCCAAGAGAGGCACGATGGTGTGAAAGCCATGGAGAGGAATCTGAATGAGCTGCACCAGGTGTTCATGGACATGGCAGTTCTGGTGCAGGCTCAAGGTGAGCAGCTGGACGACATTCAGAGCCACGTGGAGCGAGCTAATTCTTACGTGCATGCCGGCAATCAGCAGTTGCAGAAGGCCAGGTTCTTTCAGAAAAACACCCGAAAATGGACCTGCTATGGCATCCTAATCTTGCTCATCATCGTCGGCATTATATTGGCCTCAACGCTGACTAATTAAGTACATAGTAGATCAAATATTTTATAGGCAATCGGAAAATTTAGATGAATTATAGAATCATGCAGTGAATGAAATTGATATGTGTTTGGCATAGTCTGCTTGCGGTCCTCCATCTATACTTTTGTTTTTATTTTCCTTCATTATTATTTTTTAATGCTGGAGGTGCTCTCTATGTATATTGCAAGTATATTTTATTTTTTGATTGAAGAGTGTATTTTTTATGGGATATTTGTATGATATGTAGCATTTTTCTCTGTTAAAGAATTTGTTTGATCAATTTTTTTTTAATTTCCAACTAGTTTAGTAGAATTTTGTAACAAAGTATTCTCGTTACGACCGTTCACTAATCCTAGAACTAAAGTCTCAAATTATAAAAAATAAAACTTATATAACGAGGGACTATGTTGAAGGGTTAATCCAACCATATGATAATATTGAACTTGAACATACTCAAAGCTCGATTGTTGAAACCCTACCCCGAAATGGGCTTAAACGGACCCAATTATATTGGTTTTATAATTATGACCGATTTCTGTTCAGAATTTGGGCTCTAAACCGGACCAAACGGGAGCTTTCCTCTCACAAACCAAAAGCAAAACGAGATTTTAGTAATATCAGCTCGTCTTTCCTTTCCCCCTCGCTCTCAGCTTGGCTATGGCGACAGCAGTCCGCATGATAGGCAAGTAGTTCTTCCAAAATCCTTTCTTTCTACATCAATACCTTCATTCATTCATTCATTCTCACACGCAATTAATAAGTCTCTCTCTCTCTGCGGTTTTGGTGACACCAAATACAGATATAGCCGTCAACTTCACAGGTGAGGCATTTCATCAAACGCTTCTCATAACATTTTTGCTTCTTAAATTCGAGAATCGAAGCTGAATTTAAAACGAAATCAGATGGCATGTTCAAAGGAATCTACAATGGGAAGCAGTGCCACGTCTCGGATATAGCTACGGTTTTGAGCAGGGCTTGGACTGCCGGCGTCGACCGCATCATCGTAATTCTCTTTCTCTCTTTCTTCTTTTATTTTCTTTTTGAGCATATAATAGTTAGCTAATTATTATGGTTTAATGCGCTCTGAAATTAGAATTAGGCTTATGGATAATGTAGGTCACTGGTGGATCACTTGAGGAATCAAAGGAAGCTCTAACAATTGCAGAAACCGATGGTTTTTTTTCACTTGCTCCTTTTTGTTGCGATTACTATATTGTTGTATATAAATATCTTTGTCAAGTTTCAAAAATGTATCTTTTGAGCAACAAATGTGGGGTTTCCTCTGGTTTTTTGCAGCAAGGCTTTTTTGTACAGTTGGTGTGCACCCAACTAGATGCAAGGTTTGCTCTTTTTTATATCATAATTGTGTGGAAATAGTTGAAATGTACATTTGTTTGATTTTGGGTTTGGATTAGAGATGCTTGTGAGTGAATTAGGCTTATTGAGTATTGTGTATTCTGTTTAGGAATTCGAAGAGAGTGGGGATCCAGATAAGCATTTTCAGGCGCTTTTGTCATTGGCCAAAGAGGGAATAGAGAAAGGAAAGGTATGTCCCATAGCCAACGGCCCATTCTCTTTATCATGAAGAAAATAAGGCATGCACTATCAGGTTCTTAAAAAGAGTGGTCTGTTCAGATATTGATATCAGGAAGTAATATATTTTATGCTGCTTAATTTTTTCTCCCTTGTGTTTGTAAGGTGGTTGCAATTGGTGAATGTGGATTGGACTATGATAGGCTTCAGTTTTGCCCAGCAGAGATTCAAAAGAAGTATGTGGTTTCTGAAAGATTTTCTTTTTCTCCATTTTCTGCTTGTTCCCGATTACTTTTCTTTCGATCAAATGATACATTCTGTCGTTCCCATCATTTTTCTGAATCGCAAAATCTAGGTATTTTGAGAAGCAGTTTGAATTAGCACATGCCACTAAGCTGCCCATGTTTCTGCATATGCGTGCAGCTGCTCCAGATTTTTGTGAAATTGTGGAGAGAAATAGGAGCAGGTGAGAATGCTGTGAGCACCATAATTCTATAATCAAAATGTTATTTTTAAGTGTTCCTATTTATTTCCTTTCTTTTCTCTTTTTAAATTTTCGCCCACCCTCAAATTCCCTAGTTCTGGTTGACGGGGAAAGTAGAATAAAACTGAAAAAAATGAGTTGACGGGGGGAGCAGTGTCTGTGCTTTGTGCATGAACTTGTTACATTTCCTCTGCTATTTCACAGATTCAGTGCAGGGGTGGCCCATTCATTTACTGGTAGTGCAGAAGATCGTGATAAACTTCTTTCCATCAGCAACATGTATATAGGTGAAAATGTTATTAAAAATAGCATGTCTTAAAATATTAATCTGTCTATCCCTGTTTAAGTTTATGATGTCTAGTTCTTTCTCTAACATTGTTTTAAACTGAATTTCTTTGAATATGATATATTCAGGTTAAATATGGAAAAAAGGAAAAGAAAATAAGATGTACTATGCCTAGAGGATTTCATAAAAGTTGATGGTTAGGCATGGCTTTTGATTGGTCAGTTTCTGCATTTGTTAGTCGACCCTGATTCTCCAAAAGAGGGAGGAATAAATTAGACGAAAGGATGATACAACTGAGTCTGTTTTAGTGTCTAGATTGGAACGTATATATGTTTGTGAAAATAAGAAAGATGTTTAAAGAAACTTTGGGGCTTTATGAGAGATCAAGATGACCCCAATATAGGCCAAACTGGGGGGTAGATGCAAGAACAGATGATGGATGTCTTAAATCCCCTTCATAATGTAAAAAGACATGCTGCTAGTCTAGATTGATTTACCAAAAGGAGTGATATTGGGGTTGAGCAGAAAGTTAATGTTTTTGTACAGAGGGGATTTTGATTTGAACATTTACTTTTTTTATTAGGATCAGGAAAGTCAGTGTCCTATATACTGAGTTCTCCTCCATAGTTAAACAACACCTGCTGTTACATAATGAACATTTTATGTTGATTTAGATGGGGCTTATGATTATCTTTTTGTACCAAACAGGTGTAAATGGTTGCTCTGTGAAGACAACTGAGAATCTCGATGTTGTGAGGAGCATTCCTATTGAGAGGATGATGATTGAGACAGATTCTCCATATTGTGGAATCAAGAACACAAGTGCCGGGATTAAATTTGTAAAGTCCACTTGGCCTTCTAAGAAGAAAGAGAAGTACGATCAAGAGTGCATTGTTAAAGACCGCAATGAACCGTGTTTGGTTCGGTAAGTGGAAATGTTTTTCTACCACCATACCATGAACTTTTTATTTTCTTTTATTTCCTTATGTGAAAAACAGAAGAATAATGAACCTATAACGTGTATGCAGAAAACTCTTACAGCATGAGTTGAACTGTTATACTGTTCAGTGAAAAGTAATTTCACCTAATTAGAAATCATATACTGCTCCTGTAAGAAGTCCCAGTACTGCATAGCTTTTACAATAAGATATCTAATAATCTTATGTCACAAGGTGTTATATAAGAACTGAAGGTGTGTGATGTGTCTAGTAGGGAAATTATATTTGTTAGATGGAAGTGTTTTATAATGGACTACCCATGTATTTATCTTTGTTGGGACGACCTTACTGTTGGGAAACGTGAATCTTACATTAGATTCACGTTTCCCTCAATATTGCATTCTGGATCTTCTGTCTTCTCTTTTGTAACTTGACATGTAGTTTGACCTTAGTGATAATCAAATTCTATGTCAACAGGTGTCTCTTGGCATGTTCCTTTGAAGTGGTTTTTCCTAAATTATGTATCTGCTTCTTAATTGAACATGGTTGTTGTTTTCAGTCAAGTTCTAGAGGTGGTAGCTGGTTGCAAAGGAATAAGTGAAATAGGTCAGCTGAGCAGGACACTATACCACAACACTTGCCGGTAATTTTTCTTGAACTTTTTGGACTGTCTGCATCTTCTTTAGATGTGTAGTGGACCTCATGGAGTAAACTCGTAGCCCTCTCTGCTGGAACACCAATTCACATTGTATGGCAGATTTTATGAGTTTTGTCAGTGCAACCTGAGCATGATCAGACCAGTAGTTACATCTCATATTTGCCAGTAGAGTCTGTCACCGTGGTGCTTTATTCACGGGTCATTGTAAGGTATGAGGTTTGCTTCATAACAACTTACTGTTGTGCAGGGTTTTCTTTCCTCAGGACTTGGATTCTGCAGCAGATTCTCTACTTGCTGGTCATGACCCTCAGTGATAAAACCAAATTCCTTCCCGCGGAAGGTTATTCAGTTCCTCTTTTATATCTTGAGACAGGTCACTTTTTTATTTATTTTCCTTCTGAAAGTGACATTCATCATCGGTGGATAGTAGCCATATTTAGTTAAACTCCATTCTGTATTTAATTTGCTAGCTACCTCCAGTTATGAAAATCGAGGATTCGTTTTATTATTGAGTTGAGGATTTACCAAATATGTTTAAGAGATCAAATTATTTATTCTCAGGCTGTATTAGTAAACTCATTGTCGTTGCTTTCAAAAAAATTAGTTAAAAACATTGATGCACTTCCATGGTTAACAAATTGAACTTTTAAAAAGACTGAAAAAAAGAAAGAAATCCCCGCGGACGGAAAAAAACCACTGGCGGTTCATCGGCATGAACTGAAAATGGAAGGTGACTTATTTTTCACGTAGCAATAATATTAATTTAAAATATTTTCCTCTCTTTTATATATAATGTAAAAGAAATTACATTATTAATTATAATTCATTATCAGTATACGACAAGCGTATCAATGCACTAATTGAATGAAAGTTAAAATACAGGGCCGATTAAGAGCTGGATTCTGCCATTGTTCCAGGACCTATAGCCACTGCCTCAAATATCAGTTTTTGTGGCACAAAACTCGTACAAGGCAACCTCCTTGTGCCTACGTTAACTGCATGCACGTTTGCTCTACAACCATGTAACTCTTGCTCTTACCAAACAAAAAAGAAAACCATTTTAACTCTCGAATTTGCCTCATACCAACTTGGCAATTTGCACACAGCTGTGGAAAAGGAACAGGATATTGGAGCAAGAATAAACCACATTCAAGCACCCACTCCTCTTCAATAATAACCCCGGAATTCAGACGCTAACGCTAGAAGAAACCAATTCACTGCTGCCAGCATCTTCTGTCGTTGTTTCTGATGCTGGGGGAGACACCAACTCGCTGCTGTCTGTGTTTTCTGCGGTTGTTGTTTCTGATGCTGGAGGAGAAACCACTTCACTGCTGTCTGTGTCTTGTGCAGTTGCTTCTGATGCTGGCGAGGAGGAAACAGAAACAGTCCTAGCCCTTTCTGCAGCCATATTTAATCGCAAAGGCCGCCCATCAACCTCCTGTTTTTCAATTCCACACACAAACAAACGGATTATTATGGAACCACAATATCAATCACAAGGATCAATTGCCATTACTCATTTGGTACCCCGTAATAGATCGCATTAGACCTACTTATGTTGTCAGACAAATGCTTATGCTGCCATTTGAGTGTGAGCCACACATGCGGGCAAGAATCAACTTGATCAATGGTTCATATTCAGAGTCTGACAACATAAGCCAGTCAATTCCTTCCTATACCGCGTACCAAATGAGGGGTTAACAAAATTTTCTTACCATTTCATTCATGGCAGCAACAGCAGCTACTGCAGCCTCATTAGTTTCAAAAGTGACAAATCCAAAACCTCTGGATCTTCCAGAGCCCCTCTCATATATGACCTTGGCACCCAACAGCCCTGGCTGCCCTTCAAAGGCATCTTTGAGACCCTGTGAAGTCAGGCCCCAGCCAAGGTTTCCAGCATAAATCTTATGAGGGCTATCTATGTACACCTTGAACCCACTCCTTATGCTCTTAGGTCCCAATATTTCCCTTTCCCCTCCTTTTGGCACTTCTGGGAAGTTCACCTTCACATTTCTTCCTCCTACTTGCTATCAAAATTGCCATCATCACCAACAAATAAATTAATAAATACACAAAACCCCCCAAAAAAAAAAGTTATTGCATTAAAAAATCAACTAACAAAACCAAATTTGATTGATACTTACAGAGCCATCAAACATCCGAATGGCCTGTTGAGCTTCCTCCAGAGTTGACATTGTAACAAACCCAAATCCCCTGCTCCTATCTGTGACTCTGTCATAAATAATCTGCAACAAAATTCAACAAAAACCCACAAACAAAATCATCAAAAATTCTACAAACCCATTAAAGCAAACAATGGAAACACAAAGAAGAAAAGCTCAAACCTCTGAGAAAACCACAGTGCCCGCCTCACCAAACACCTCTGCCAGTTGGGTTGAAGTCAAAGAATAAGGCAAATTCCCCACATAGAGCCTCCCAGCGTCATTGTAAGACGCTACCTTTGGCTCTTCCTCTCTTTGTTCTTGTTCTTCTTCCTTTTCAATGGGTTCTGCTTCTGGGTTTTGTTGTTCTTTACTTTCACTGTCTTCTTGGACTTCGAAACCGTCTAAGGCCGCCAAGGGGCGGCGAAATTGGGTGAGAGAAGAGCGGCGAGAGAAGGTGGGGAAATGGGCTTTGAGCTTGAGGGGTTTAGGGGGTTTAATATGTGGCGGGAAGTGGCTTGGGATTGGGGTGGGTGAGTTGGGGATTGAGAAGTTGGAGATTTTGTTGCAGAGTGAAGAAGAACAAGAAGTACTTGTAGAAGCCATGGATAGAGAGGAAGCTAGCATTGTGAGAGGAAATGGTGGGATTGAAAAGTTGGCTTTTGGTTGGGGAAGGTCTTCAAGTAGAAGACGGGAGGGGCTTTGCGTTTGACTAAGAAGCAGCCTATTGGCATGGATAAGGTTTGCTCTGCTTTTTGGATTTTCATTTGATAATTTAATCTATATTTTGTTTTGTTTGGGGTTTTTTTTTCCTCAGATGGGGGTTTAGAATTTTTTACTCTTTGAATACAGACGATAGTCAATAGGGAAATTCATCACACACACTAAATAGGTGTTGTGAGAATTCGAACATGAACCTACAAGTCAATACCCTTTTTCACTAAGCTAAACTATTGGTTAAGGACCTAAGTAATAGAGGGATATTTCAAAACTCCACATTGAAACAAAATATCATTCAAAAGTTGTTCATATCGAGATTATGTGCTATTATGGGCAAAATCGTGCATGACATTTACCATTTGACTAATTCGTTTGAGGATGCATGGCATTCACCATTTCACTTTTAAACCTTATATTTTAAAAGATGGCAAATCTAGTATATTATATTTTTTAAAGGTGATTGAAAGAGCTGTTTTTCAATCAATGAGGCAAGAATGCTGTCTTACAAAATGATGAAGTCTTTCCTCCCTTGAAAGTCAACTGGCAGAAAGAGAAAATAATAATAATAATAATAATAAAGAGGACATCCACTGTTCTTAAGATATAATACATTATTCTTCCAAACGTACAAATAACACAACATTAAGTTATACATTACACCAACCCAGGAGGTCAAAAATCCAGATACTAGATACTAGAGAATTACACAACAATTTAGCCTGTTTAGTTTAGATCACAAATGCATACCAGACTCTTAAGTTCTTATTCAGACTTATGGGAAGAGAGCCATACATATCATATATTTATATTCATATATAGTCTACCGCATTAATTTTATGTAGCTTCAAGGTTTTCGCTAGCCACCCGAGCGAGCAGGATGATTGCATGGAATGGCAGGAGAACCTATCCGTACATGAGCCAAGAATGAGTTGCCTTTGATAGCAACCAGATGGGGGCGGGCAATCCTAGAACCAAAAGCTGTTGCAATAACCATAACAGAAACTGCAACAAAGCTTCTCCATCTGGTTGTGGAATAGATGGGGCTAGCACAAAAAGTTTGCACCAACCCCACCTTTTCCCTTGCTATCAAACTTTGAGGTTGCAGCAGTTATCTCCTGCTGCAACCCATTTGGTCGGAATGACCATACCACGCACACTATCCATCACGTCTGACAGAGAGTGCACAGAGGGACCGAGATGATTGATGGAAAAACGATCAAGATCTCTCCTAGAGTACACGCTGGTCACCTCTGACCCTGATATGTTTGAACTGCTGCCATTCGTTTCCTTTGAGGAGTTTAAGGTTCCACTTTCAGATTGCAGGAGTTCAGAACTATGAGAACCAGAGTGCCTAAACAGCCGTCCATCACCAACTTGCGTCCCTTCAGTTCCGTTTTTCCCATTGTTCATAGTCTTTGTGTTCAGAAAACGACCACCACATCCCCTTGGTCGACGCATTGCATGAAGATGGCGTGACTCATGCATATATGGCTGTGTAAAGAAGAAAGATCATTAAATAAAAGAGAAAAATCTTTTCCTCAGATGTGCAATTTGGTTTTGAATCATATATCCTACTGGAAATTTGGTAAAGTTGTCATTTTACTTATACCTATTTTATAAAATATTAAAGCTGGTCAAGATTTTAAACTCCCTTGAAAACCAAAAAGATCTTGAATTGAAAAACCAAATGAATAAAGACATCCACCCATATCCAATAGGCCAAACAAATTGGGTGGATGGATGACTATCAATCCTTGAATTCCATAAGTAGCTAAATTATGTTGTTTTATCTGTCAACGAGAAGCCAAGAATCTAGCTGGCCTAAACTTGTCACTTCATATTTCATGTAACACATTCAGATTTTCCATCCAGTGACAGTAATCAACTTTTGGAATACCTTTATAGCAGTCACATTATATTGATGTTTCCCCCTTACAGATAACAGATAATGAAATTTTGAGATATCATACCTTACGAAGTGCAGCTGCTCTGTTCTCCATGACTGCCTTGGCACGGGATTGTCGGCGTCGGATGATCCCATGGTATTGCTTAGCATTTACATAGATTGGTCCTTCATCGGCAGTCAAGTTCAGCGGCAGCATAATGCGCCCCTAATCCATTGCAAATGGATGAGTATGCGCATCAGTAAATTTGCCAACCTTAAGAACATATCATGAAAAATGTAGAGCAACAGCCAAGCAACAACAAAGATCCTTTGAAGAGTAAAACTCATATATACAAAACCTGCATAACCTTATATTTCCCTGATGACATTTGAAACCACACTTTCAGATGTATGAACAGTTACTGACTGATAATGCAGCTTCAATTGGCTCTTTTCTTTACTAATATTTAGGTGGAATTTCTCTTTCGCTTCTATATAAGGTTTCTTATTATTTTCCTTAAGAAATGAATTCTCTGCTTGTCTTGACATTGCTTAATTTTTAATCAGAGTAAAATATCAAAGACAAGCAGAGACGTGCTAATTCTCATGCTCGTGCACAGAGAGGGGAACAAAGATAGATTTTCCAAGTTAATCCTAAAAATGGTTTCTAGTTCTCATAACTATAGTATCAGGAGAGACAAAGATGAGCATGTTTCACTACGAAATTAATAGAACGAAACTCGTACTAAAACAAGTTATATGTCTCATATTTCTCTTTAGATATGCTATCAAGGAAAAGATAGAATATTCTAAAGTTAAAGAAAAAAAAAGAAAAAGAAAATCTCTTCGCAAGAATAACATAATTGCGATAGCGTAGATCCACATACAAAGAGGTAGGAGAAATGATAAAAGACTCACCGAAATTTGAGGTCCATATGTTGAGAAGAGTCCATAACATTGATCCATATATGGATATTTTGCACAGATCTGCAGTTCAAGTCCAGAACAAAGAACCAAGTAATAAGCAAGAGTCACCAAAACCATATTCACTAGTCCTAAAAAGTTATTAATTCAAAAAATACAAAAAAGAAAAGAAAGGCTTACCATAGGCTGGCTGAATCCCAGCTCAAAACGAGCACGATATTTTTGCGGAGATGATTGCAGGGAGATTGCTACCTGGGATTTTTGACCATCCCCTGCAAATTAACAATTAAACCCGACTGTGAAACTACTTTGCTGGTTAGCCATGATTGAACAGAAGTTCCCAGGGTATGAAGAGCTTTTGGGTATCAAAACCTTTCCAAAAACCAAAAAGAGCTTTGATAGAAATTAAAACCTCTATGTGCATATTTTCATATTTTGGGTATTAAAATTTTGTTAAACATATTTCTGTCAAGATGATAATCAAATTAAGTCTACAACCAAAAGTGCAATCAAAGAATGAAAACCTGGGTTTCATTGGAGAAGGAAATCATTTTAAACAAGTTGTGAAACAAAGATATGTGAACTAGATGATATTTCATCCATCAGTAAGGTTTTGTTTTCCCCTCTATTTAACAAGGGCTTGTGAGGGAGAATAGAAAGTTTTTGGTTAAGGCATTCTAGTATGTTCTAATACTATTGTCACAGAATAGTATTATCGTTTATTTATCAAGTAATTTCTACATACTGGGATGTCCACTCAGCAGGTGAATCTTCAAGAGTTTATTTTCTACCCCAGTAGAGGTACTGCAAATTAACTTCCCACACTTCTACAGATATTTTTCTATATGTGTTGTCAATGGTACTGGAAATGACCCTCAGAATGCTTCTAAAACTAACACCCAACCTTTGTACTAATTGATTCAAGTCCAATGTTGGATACAATTTCTCCCAAGTAATGCTGTTACCTTGGACCTAATCCCTACAAGGCAGCATTTGGTGGGCATTTTGGAACAGAAGCGTGTGAAACAAAGTAACACAAGCAAACTTTAAATAGGCTGCTCATAAGTCTCACCAGTCATCAATGCTAAAGTCCTCTCCTCCCCTGGGTGCCCTTAAAGGTGTCATGTACTTCAAATTTTCCACTCCCAGATTACTAAATAATTATTAAAATCTAATAACTTCTATTTTAAAAAGAGCATGGTTCTTGCTATCATTTATTTTGTACTCATTGTTTCCCTGTACAACCAATTTCATCATTTTCATACTCTTTCTCTAGCATTTTTGAGAATTGGTAATTACAGTCCAACGGAAGGTACAATTAGTTACATCCTCTGTAAATTAGCACTGGACTAGATAGTTCAACAAACCAGACCAGATCTTTTGGGGAAGAGAAGCCCTTCTTTACATTTCCCATGCATGATGAAGAAAAAAGCTTCAACATTTACAGGACAGAGATGGGTACTCAGGGTATACAGTGGCCCCATTCAAATCATTTGATATGACAAATTAAATTTTCAAGAACCAACTTTCTAAATAACATGTGCAATGTGTTTGATTTACGTTACGAAGAATTTTGGATACCAAATAGATGTGGGTGCTATGACCACACAACTGTGCCATCTGTCAATGCTTAGTCAAACTTCAAACAGAAGACGGTTATTCATTTCACGAAAAAGATGTTCCTTTTGTGATGCTTGTCTATATCTACTTTAACAACTAAGTCCATTTTGTTGTTCTTACTTCACAATAAGTCAGTTATACTGTATTGCCAGTTGGCCGCTACTTATTTTCCATCCCAAGGTCCACTAGTTAAACTAAACAGAAACGTTTTTTCAATTACTGCAACTATACCACATAAAGATTCTTTCTTATCTTGAATAAGAACTAATAGGAATTTGCAAATAAAAAGGGTACTGGAAAAAACATTTTCACCAACAGCTGAAAACCTTTAGGGCTAAATCTCTGATCATCATAGCATAAGTACTGTAATGTGGTCCTAAAAGGAAAACCATTCCTATTATCTCAGTTCTGGTCTTCCACAAATCTTTTTAACTAGTTATAGTTTGTTCTTTGTTGCAGCAGTACTGTTATCATCTATGATGTTTAAGCCACTTATCAAAAAACTCACATGAAGCAAAATTCACCTTGAGGATGTCATAGAAAGATTCTTGTACCAGCTATACTATCTATTACGTATTAACTACACTAACTCTCTTCACACTATATGACTAAACCTTTACTTGCCACATGCAATTTGGCTACAGAAGGTTAATCCTTCGTTGCCTTCAATTATCAGAAAAGGGGCTATATCCTCCAACTTTTTTACATGAAAACTTTTCCCGACCCCACATTGCAGCTTATTTCCAATCAGTCTAAGGTGAAAAAGGAAACAAAGAGATATCTTCGTGACGAAGGATACAAACCTTATGTCAAAGGCATAAACTGAAATGAAGATAAGGAAGCCAGAAAATCTTTTCTTTTCCCTTTTAAAGTCGCTAAGTAAATGCTATAAACCAAACAACTAAATAAAGAAAAATATTTTGGAAAAAGAGATGCATCAAAAGTAAAGGAGGAGATTACCAGGAAAGATAGTGAACTGATTTGTGTTCCCTTTATCGAGTCCTTGTTCAGTACCTCGCCCTGTAAGTTTAGTGGCAGTGAGTTGGTCCCCACTACTGGGGTGTTCCATGGTAAAAGTTTTAGACTGGCCACAGGATTCTCCATAAGATGGTTGAGATCCGAAGGCACTCCACCAAGGTCCTGACAATGCTGATGACAGCTGCCCCATGGGATTAGTAATCCCTTCATGTTCCTTGAAATAGACAGTCTGCATAGCCATAGTCTTTCCTCCAAATTTAATGATCCCAACAACAAGTCTTAATTAGTTTGAACTCGAATATTCCATATAATGCCTGCAAATTCAAAGTTACTGTTGAGAAAAAACCAACTACGCTAGCTTTCGCAAAAGAAGAAAGAAAATAAAGGACAGAAATGTATCTATTTTGTTAAAATCCACCAAAGATCATAGTTTTCGTTCATATGTAATTAATTAGCGAAATTTATTGAGTTTCTGCTCGATTTACAGATGCATCAATGAAGGGTGGCGAGAAAAAAAATTAATGGGAAATGAAAGAATTAATAAGCATATGCAACTAAAAAGTTCCCTGATAACATGAAATGAAACTATTAGAAGATGAAAGATCATAACTTTTCCAAAAATTATTTTGAGGAAAATATGAAAAGAATGTCTAACTACCCCATATGAGCTTCCTGCTAGTATAAGCAGAAAACAAGCTGAATTTAAAGGGGGAAAAGGGAAAATTGAGAGAGAGTGAAGAAAAACTAGACACACATAAACCAAGCGAATAGATAACAGAAAATTATCAGCAATAGCAGAAAGAGTAGAAAGAGCTCAACCAAAGAAATAGAACTGTGAAAGATATAAGCAAAAATATAATTACCCAGAAGAGAAGCAACAATCACGTCAGCAAAAACCAGAAATCACAGCCATAGAAGCTAAATAACAGCAAGAAAAGAAAGAAAGACAGCATAACGCCAAGTCAAGCTAAAGATTCTGAACAGACCCTTTTAACAGTGAGGTTGCTGAAGAAGTACCCAATTGCAGTGCTTGACAAAGAAGTGAAAGCAGCAGCTGAATTTGAGTTTTAAGCAGAAGCAGAGAAACCCCCACTTGCTAGGAGCCATGTCGGTACAATTACAAGCAAATCAGAGCAATGGAGACAGAGAGAGAGAGAGAGAGAGAGGAGAAGGAAGGAGAAAGACGGCCGAAAGAGCGATGATATATGCGCACAAGCGTAATGGAACTACACACCAGCGGCCAATGAGCTTTGGCTTTCATGCAACACCCCTTTGTATTATGTGCAATTGTGCCATACTTAATACTATAAAATTACATACACATTCTCTCTCTCCAACCTCTTTGTTTATTTCTTTTATTTATTTATTTATAATAATAATATAATACTTAAGCTCTTTTTAATTAAATTTATTAATATTAATTATAATGATATACTAAGTTTTTGGGGCCACTGTTTTCTTAATTCTTCCCAAATTCAAAACTAAGGGTGTTGAGATCTGTTAGTGAGAGGGTAGTGACCACAAAAAACAATACCAATTGACCCAAAAGATAAAAAGGGCTGATGGTGTAACCACCCCATATCCCTATCTAAATGTCTTTTTTTTTCAATAACTTTTTCTGGTTTTTTTTTCTTTTAAAGTTAGTAAGAGAGAGAGAGTTTTCTCACAAGCAATGCTAAAGGTGCCATGAAACTACTAGTTTGCAAGTTAAAATCCTTTTCCATTGGACTAGACCCGTTTGTTTCTGTTTTTTTTCTTTTGGTTGTGTCTGTCACATACGTTTGGGAAGTGGTGACACTATTCACAATTGCCCTTTGTTTTTACTAATACAAGTGCGTTACAGATAAGTTTAAGCACAAGATTGATAAAGATAAGCCAACAATTAAGATATATAGGACTTTACTTTTGGGGCGGTTTCTTTTTTAGCCCTAGGTTTGCTAGCTCAAACATTTCTTACATTTCTAGGTTGGCCCGTCGAGTCATTGTATGGATGGGTTGGGATGTTAGATGGATATTTCTTTAAAGTTTTTATTTTGTTCTTGTTTCATTTTATTTCAACCTTTTCTTTGTGTTTTTTTGATGTTAGATTACCATTGGTGAGCTATCATCAATGTGAACTCAGTAAGATGCGTTATGCTATTTTTTTGATACATGCATAGGGTAGAACACACGTCGCAATTTTGATGATATGATTTTGAATTTGGACTATCAAATATTCACCCCAAAAAAAAAGAACTATCAATTGCGTTGCGTGTGTCTATGATGGTCGGCCTTGAGGTAACTGTCTCAAACTCCTAATTATATTTAGTCTAAATAAAAATTCCAATCCATGTTCAACTCTTTATCATTTTAGATTATGATGGTCGGCCTAGAACTTATTGTTGACTTGGAGTTTCAAAGCTTACTTTTGCCCACTTCAAAATTGACTTTGGCCAAAGGGACGTTGCACATTTACTTATTTTCTGGGAAATATATATATTTTAGCTTGTATATAAACGTCCAAACACCAAATTAGCGAGTTAATCTCGCAATTTGCTTTTATGATCAGAACCATTCATTTTTAGATTTTCCTTGATAGATCACTCATGCAATAATCAACCAAATTATAAAATACGCATCCTGTTAAATAAACGAAAACAATATTTTTCATAAGCACTAATCATTGTGACAATTAAATGGCTAATCAGTTAGGGTTTGAAAGCTCCTGTATGTACATATATATATATATATATATATATATATATGGCAATGTTCAATCTTAACTGGCCATACAATACACCGCTGTAAAGGTAGATCATTTTTTAGGTAGATTATTGTTTCAACCCTAAAACTTAATTCCAAGTTCCTAAATTAACAGTCTGATAACATAATATGCACATACATAACGAGATAACACTATCATGTGTATAAGAATATATTAATCAAAATACATGTGGTAATTCTCTTGCTAGGTACTTTAACACTATCATGAAGCAAGACTACTTATTTAGTCATGATACTACTTAATCAATGATACTTATTGATAGCATGTGAGACAATTTGACACGTTAAATTATGGTGAGACTATCAATATCAACAATTAATAAAGTTACTTGAATGTATGTTCAATATGGACAATGTAAGAAACCATTACCACATAAATGTATTTGTATGTGTGCATGCATAAGTTGATATATTGCTTTTGCTCGAAAATCAATATGCAGTCTTAATTGACAATTTACCAATATAACATATCAGACAGAATAACATGTCATAACACTTGATCGGTAATGATATTTCGAAATTGCTATTTACAGTCACAAGTGTCATTGTTGCCAAATCAATGTATGCCACATCACGTTACTCATCTGTTTCATTTCCTATAAGATTAAGGTTTGTATGTTGGGTAACAAGAACACTCGATGAGGGTCGTGACTCGTGAGTGTCACTATCATGCTTAACCCTATTTAGTATCTCGAAGTTAACTTCAAATTTTAAACTCTCTATTTATCAATATATAGTTTTTTGAGAATTGTATCTTGAGCTTAGCTCATGTAGCAAGAGGTAAGACAAGGTTGGCATAAGTTTTAGAGTCAAGTTCCGCAAATATTTTTCTCGTTTTTTTTCTTTAAAATCATAATTTAACTATCAATTAACAAGGTATTTAATCTTTTAAATAATTAATATTTTAAAATTCATACGTGAAATTTCAAGGTGACTAATTATGATGGTACTAGATAATTAAGGGATGAGACCTTTTTTTTTCTTCTCGAATACAAGCGATAGTCTAAATTTTAAGGGGAGGTTGGGTTTCTCTCTCTCTCTCTCTCTCTCTCTCTCTCTCACACACACACACACACACACTACCAAGGTGTTATTGGGGTCCAAACCTGAGATAACTGATCTGCAAGTTAAGGCCATTTTCCACTGAGTTAGACTCATTGACAGGAATGAGAGTTTTTAGTTACGCTGAAAATTGCATCATTTGTATATCTATATATCTTCTATATAATAAAACAAAACGCGTCTATAGTTAAGTTAATTATATGAGGATAGTAAAAGTAATATGTTAAGAGAGACATATTCACCAAACTACCGCGAGTTATTCATACTCCCTCGTGTCACCCTCCTACTCCAACTACAGTGATGAGCAATTAGATTAAATTCATGGATTGTAACAAAAAATATACACAAAAAATAAATAATAATGAAACTTAACGCATGCGAAGATGCTAGGTACTCATAATTTGTGTTTTAAACTTTCAACAACAGAAACAAAGTATTTGGAAACGTGTATACAAATACTAGTCCAAGTCACAGCATGTATTATCATTCTCTTGAAAAACTAATGGATATATATCGATTGTCGTTGAACATGTCCAAACCATCATTATGGAGTTCACTCAAATTTTATCTCCAATGAGTGCTACTTTAACCTACTTACGTATACGTATACGTATGTGATCATTCAAATACCCCTTCTTATCTTTTCATTTGTTTATTTTTAATTTCCTAATATCACCCATACTTAACTCAACCCATTAAGGACATTTATCCATGCACTTGAGGTTCTAGGTTAAATTCCCTTCGTTCACCCCATATTATTTATTAATGTTTATACACATTAAGGGAATATAATGAGTTTTATATTTTGCAATGAAATATGAACGATCATGTTTTACTGTGTCTTGTCTCTCTATTTTGAAAGTTTGTCTCGTTTTTATATTTGTATCATGTCATTTTTGTGTTGTGTGTCGATATTTATTCGTCATAATATTAGAAAAAAATTATATTGTAAATTGAGATGGAGTCATGTATTACATTACATGTGGAAGGAACCCCAAAAAAACAAAGAGTCTACTAGTCTTTTGTTTTTTTCTTCTATAAAGTGGTTTGGAGTAGGAGAGAAGTTAATTGCATTGGGCAATCATGCTCAATTCCAAATGGATAGAAAAGTTCCAAAAGCAAGTACACATTTAAAAAGTACACAGCTAGAGGCATGCTATTTGCATATTGTAAATTCAGATGAATGCATGCATTGCACATGGAAAATGACCAAAGAAAAAAAAATGTGTTGTAGATTTTATTTATTTATATTTTTCTGCTGAGTAAACACCCAAAAAAAAGAACCCCTCTTGTTAAAAGATGCTTATTAGCTAGTTAAGTACAAACAAAAGAGCAAATTTGAAACGTAATATACTTGGGATGGTGACTGCAATAGAATCCCTTGTTCCCTTTTAGAGGGCAACAATGATTAGACAC